AAGGCACCCATCAGTGGTCCTCACTGTGGGTCCCGGAATGTGGTCAGGGGGCAGGTTCTGTCTTCATGCATCCCTTAGGGGTCCTGGGGCTGACTTCCTTTCCTTTCCTTTCCTGTCCTGTCCTGTCCTCTCCTCTCCTCTCCCTTCCATTTTTTTTTTTTTTTTTTTTTTTTGAGACGAAGTTTCGCTCTTATCACCCAGGCTGAAGTGCAGTGGCAAGATCTTGGCTCAGTGCAGCCTCAACCTCACAGGTTCAAGCGATTCTCCTGCCTCAGCCTCCCGAGTAGCTGGGATTACAGGTGCCCAACACAACACCAGGCTAATTTGTGTGTTTTTAGTAGAGATGGGGTTTCACCATATTGGCCAGGCTGGTCTTGAACAAAGGAAATACACAGCTTAGTAAGTATTCTTGCCCCACTCCTCTTAAAATAAAAACTTTTTTAAAAAACCAAATCCTGAATAAAATCAAGCTTTAGATCTGACTACCGGTTTAGAAGACATGTAGGGAGGAAAGAAGCAATTTAGATGACACATCAAAGATGTAAACAGGCAAATTCAGTATATGAAACAATCTACAGAACAAATCAACCAGTTTCTTCAAACAGCATAATCGGGGAGACAGGGTTTTATAACCCTGGGCTTGTGGGCCAGGCATAGTGGCTCATGCCTGTCATCCTGGCACTTTGGGAGGCTGAGATGGGTGGATCACGGGGTCAAAAGATCGAGACCATCCTGGTCAACATGGTGAAACCCCGTCTCTACTAAAATACAAAAATTAGCCGAATGTGGTGACATGCACCTGTAATCCCAGCTACTTGGGAGCTGAGGCAGGAGAATTGTTTGAAACTGGGAGGCAGAGGTTGCAGCGAGCCAAGATCGGAACACTGCACTCCAGCCTGGTGAGAGAGCGAGACTCTGTCTCAAAAAGAAAAAAAAGAGACTTGTATTATTTATCAACCAAGTACAATGTTTTTGTTTGTTTGTTTGTTTGTTTTTGAGACAGGGTCTCACTCTGGTTGCCCAGGCTGGGGAGGGAGTGTAGGGATATGATCTCAGCTCACTGCAGCCTTGACCTCCTGGGCTCAGGTGATTCTCCCACCTCA